TGGCAGTAATCTAGTTGCTATTCATTATGAAAGGTGTTTGTAGAGAAAAATTCTTTTAAAACTCAGTAATGCCGTTAAAGGAAGGAGTTTGCACTGAGGTACCTACAAGGTACTGGAGGAAAGGGGGAACACGGGTGGCTCTTCTTGTCTAGAAATGATTGCCTAAGTGATCCAAGAGGAAAAGGAAAGAGGTGTGCCTGCTGACGCCAGCTGGAGCAGCCAGGGCACCTGCACCCACTCAAGGCAAATTGTCTGCCAGTCTGCTCCTCTCTTACTTACACTTCACAGGCTTCCTCCAGTTTGCCCTGAGCTTGAAGTTACTGTTCAGCCTGTGAGTGTTCCTGGGCGAGTTCCCTAGTTCTGTGGACTAGAATGCTTTGTGCCTTGAATCCTTTCCCATTGAAACTGGAGGTAGGATGGCTAGTTGAGTTTTATGGGTTGAAAATTTGTGTCCCTTCTAAACTTCATATGTTGAAACCTAGCCCCCAGTGGGATAGTTTTTGGAAGTGAGACCTTTGGGAGATGATTAGGTAGAGCCCTCATGAACAGGATTACTGACCCTATGACCCCCAGCGAGCTCCCTCGCCCCGTATGCCATGTGAGGACACAGAGGAGGTGAAGTCTGTGAATCACAAAGCAGACTCTCACCAGACATGAACGTGCGGTGCCTGGATCTTGGATTTCCCAGGCTCTAGAACTGTGAGAAGTAAATGTTAGTCATTTCAGCCACCCAGTCCATGGTAATTTGCTATATCAGCAGCCAAAACTGATTCAGACATAGGGTCTGTGAGTAGCCAATGCATTACAGGCCCTTTGGTGGTCTTTTCCAGATGTTTCATTCGGGCTTGGCTGCCACTGCTGTTGATCGGCAAGGAAGCCTCTGGTGTCAGTATGAAACAAGTCCTAGGACCACTTACATCAGAACCTTCAGGCAGGTTTGTTAAATGTAGCAGATTCCCATTCTCTGCTGTAGAAATACTGAATTACAATGGAGGTGGAATGGGGTGCAGGAAATAAACACATCCTCCAGGATTCCCAGGCAACCTCAAGCTTGAGAATCGGTAGGGCAAAGGAGCTATCTACCTGCTGACCTTCATTTCCCCTTCTCTGTTGCCTCCTCTGAGCCTGGTTGGGGGGCTGACATAGAAGGGGATTAGAAATTTCCTCTGGGAGCCCCTCAGTCTCCATCCCCAGGATGTCCCCACAACTGTATTCTAGAGTAACACACATACATACACACAATAGTTGCAGCCACTGTTTTATTGGCATGATGTGTTTATCTCCTATGGAGAAGGCATCCTTTCTCGGCCACTGTTTTAGCCCCACCCCTAACACAACACCTGGCATTTAGTGGGCCTCTTTAAATGTCTGCACCACACTTCAGTCTTTGGTGTGACCCCCATGCTTCTGAGACTCACTTTAAAATACAGTGAAAATACTCTTTGAAGCCGAAAAGAGTGTGTGGAGGGTCCCAGAGAGAATCTTCTATCCTTGCCCTTCCCACAGGCTCATGTCATCTTATGACCATCCTCATAGCCGTCCTCCTCCTCATCTTCGATACCTACTTTTTGGGTGATTTATGCTGGGCATTGTGCTGAGCACTTCACATACATTATATCACTTTATATTCACATTACTAACATCACGTGTTGATAGGGAAACTGAAGGATTACCTAAGGTGACATGCTATTAAATGGTCAAATGACAGGCTAAGACTGGAACTCAGACAAACTTCTAAGTACTAACAGTTGAAACACCTCTGCTAACCCTAGATCCTGAGATACACGTTTGATGCTGTGCCAACTGGGACACACCTTAAACGACTTGTTACAGACCAAACCTATCAGATGGTTCACACTTACTTCCCTCTCCCAAGTCCTTCCTGAACCTCAGGCCATCCAAAGCCTCAAGGCCCCCAAAATGCTCAGCCTGATGTATCTGCACCCCCAAGTGCCTTCCAAATTTAAATCCTTTGATATAGATTGGCTTTAAATACTTAAATTTACTAGAAAATTACAGTGCCATAAATATTTATAGTGCCATGTAAACCAAAAGTCACACAGAAGCGAACTCATCATTTTTGGCTTTTGTGTTTTCAAGTGTCGATCACGAACTTTTCAGGCATGAACCTGCAAGCTGATGGAGTTTCCGTGGCCACATCAGTACTGTCGTGACTGGGCCCTTCCAAACACGTGCTCAGTGTGTTTGCATATAAATCAGAAAGAATGACTGGCTATCTCATCCAAAGCAAAGCCCCGAGGTCTATCAACAATGTGATCAGTGGCCTGAGGGCACCCTGGCAGCGGGCAAGAATACAGTATTCACAGCACTCAGGTCAGGAAGAGACAAGCTCTGAGGCATCAATGCACAACAGCTCCGACCACCAACAAAACCACACAGGAATGGCCCCCTAGTCCTGTTCTGTTTATGAAGACACTTTAAAGACCACAATTCACACTCACAGACAGTTGGAGAACACAGACAATCCTACTACATCACTCAGCTGAAGGCTCATTTATTATAAAATGGAGATGGGCAGAGAAAGTATTCCATGCACATTGAGGGCATCTGAAGTTTTCCAACAGGATTTGCTGAAGGTTAAGAGATGCTTGAAAACATATCGTCTGTGAGACCCCAAACATACCGTTTTTCACTAATTCTTTTTAGGCATCTACTTGATCAGCTCCGTGTTCAGTGCCCGGGGAAGCAAAAGTGTGTAAACAAGCGATCTTGGCTCTCAGAACTGAGCTTCAAACTGTAATGCTAACCCGGATCCCCTGGGGATCTGGTTGAGAGGCAGATTCTGGGTGAGTAGACCTGGGGCAGGGCCACGCTTTCAGGGGGTGCTGATGTCACTGAGCATACCTTCAGTGTTGAAGATATTAAAATATTTACAAGGCAAACAAGAACCCTTTGACCTGCGATCTGCATATCCTTGAAGAACAGATAAGGATGCACTCCTTCAGAAACTAGTGATCCCTGGGGTCCTGCTGTGCGTCTTCCCACCTAATGACACAGATGAATGGCTGCTTCCCAATGGTGACCACCTCAGCTTCTCACCTGGCCAGGTGTCTGCTGGAAAGGGGCCTGAAAGATGAAAAACTAGATGGAGGTGTGTGCTCCTAGGAAGTCGAAAGGTGATCCTTGGTAGCCAGAGCAGCTGATCAGAGACTTCAGGTGACACACAGCAGGACTGGACTGAATAAAGGATTTGCCAACCAGCATCTGTGCCCTATCAGTAGACGTCATTTTCTGTCTCACAGTGAAGCCTTCTTTTTTTTTTCTGAGGTTATACACCACGAGAAAACTGACCACAGTGCTTTCTTCTGAAAACTATTTTGGGCAGTTTATAAACATAATGGGCTTATGATAGCTTATGGAAACTTGCTCCGAGGGAAAAACAAAAGCTCAGGGCAGGGCCTAAAGCGGATACTTAAAGTCGCTTAGTGGCACCAGGAGAAAATACAGAAAGGCAGATCTGAGCCCATTATGTCACCGCAGACCTGCCCTGTCGTATTCTGTGACAAGAGCGCTCTGCCTACTGCTCTTGCAGAGGGGGCTTGGGTCCCAAATAAGAATGAAAACTAGAAATGTATGTTCGCCAGGATAGAGGGCTCCTTTAGGGTAACTGGTCGGCACAGTTTCAGGTAATAAAAAGATCAGAAAGTTGAACAACAAAGATGAATGAACATATCCTTGTGCTGGAATTGGATTTGCAGTCTTGATAAACACACCAAAGGAAGCTGTCAAGGACAAAGGCCTTTTCTTTCTTTCTTTTTTTTTAATTTCTCATTTTTTTAATTTCGTTATTTTTTAAGTACAGTTTTTTGTCTATTTCTCCAATCCCAGCCCCCCCCACCGCGCTCCCCACCTCCCACCCACCCCCCAGCCCTCGTCCCTGCATCCCTCACATTTGTTCCCCCAAATCCCTCCCCACTTCCCCCTTAAATTTCCTTCCCTCTCCCCTCTGGTCACTGTCCCCTTGTTCTCTATTTCAGTGTCTTTATTTTTATTCTGCTTGCTTGTTTATTTTGTTGTTTAGCTTCCTGTTAAAGGTGAGATCATATGGTATTTGTCTTTCAACACCTGAAGGCCTTTTCTTAATAACCACTTATATCTCTGACCTGAGGGGCACGAGGTAATACTCATTGTTTATGAACAGAATGACTATACCTGCTTAGAGAATGTTAAAAAATTAAAAGACAAACAAACCATGAGATCACTTCTTTCTCTTCAATAAAGCTTCCAAGGGAAATAACTAGAGAGCTATGATTTTTGCTTCAAATGGCACATTTATTTCTACAATAAGAACTTTTAAAAAATTTTATTTAGTTATTTTTCAAGTACAGTTTTTTGTCTATAATAAGAACTTTTAATAGGATAGTCTATTTTCCAAAGAACAGCCTGCAGATTCTGGGGAAAGTAGGCTAGATGCATGTTGGTTCTTGATTCCCGATCGCCACTTAAATTTTGAACATTCGGTATATTGTAGATGGCAGGAAACCAGGCACAAGGCTAATAAACGGACCCTAAGTTAGTTTTCTTATTGAAAGAAGATAGTTTTATACCATGTAATTTGCTGCCAAGTTAATCAACGGCAGTCCATCACAAACAGTTTTATAAGTCAATTAGCCCTTTATGTGAAGAGTTTCAGTGGTTCCTAAGTGCTTACTTATTATTTTATTAGGGTTCCAGCTTCAGAAGAAATGTGAGTTATATTTTGCATTGAGGTCAAGTCAGTGAGGACAATTCTTTTCCTGTTTCTCTTTTTCCCCACTGCCATAAAAACACAAAAATGCTTCCAAAAGAAAGGATACGGAACAGGTTAGAAATTAAGCAACCACATTTTAATCAATAAATACGAACATCTGTTAACAAGTTATTAGGCAGAATAAAGTAGTCATTTACCAAGAATTCAAAAGATAATACTACATGGAAAACAAAGTGCAAGAATCTTTGCCATAAATTCCCCCCCACCTAGAGAATTAGGTACAAAAAAATGTACTCAGAATAAGGATTGGAATGATCTAAAAAAATTCAGGTATCCATTAAAGCTAAAACAGATTATTTCTCACATATTGGGCAATATGTAGATTGTCTGACAACGGAATGAATAGATGGTTGAATGCAGGAGAGCAGAATGTCAGGGAACAGAAGGGCATCTGTTCCCATTATGGGTGCACTCATACCTACTTCTTACTCCTCCCCTGCCTCATCCACTCTCCTTTGCTCTGCTGTCCTGCAGGGAAATACAATTCCCAAGGCCCTTGTCAACTGGCTTCCAGGTGGCACTGGAAGAGCAGGTGCTGCAGGAAGATGCCAGGGCAGAAGAAGAGGTAAAGCCAGGGGTATTTCTCCACGCGTGGCGCACCTGGAGTCTCCCCTCTCAGGCAGTGGCTTTGCCCTGCTGTGCTGAGGTTTTCCTTAGCTCCTCTCCTAGGTGGTACCAGCTCCCACCAGGCCACCCCTCACTGTGGTTCCAGCTCTGTAAACGACCCCCCTTTCTGGGCTCAGGGAAACACACAGCCTCACAGCTCTAGGTGGTAACAGCTTTCTTTTATCTGGCTTCTCTTTTATCATCTTTGTTAAGTCAATTTCCTCTATTCGATTCTTTATTTTGAAACACCTAGAACAGCTTCTGTTTTCCTGGCTGGATCCTAATGCATACATGGTAGAATCATTACATTATTTTCCCCTGTAACTTACTTGGGAATCTGCATGAGAATCTGCCCTAAGCCACTGAAAAATAGCTCAAACCATACTCTATACCCACCTTCTATAACACAGGAAACTGAATATCCCTTGGCCATGTTTTGTCAAGCACTGGGACTGTTTTTTACCAGGTACAAATATGACTCTGTCCACCAATGTCACCTCCAGTCACAGTGGACAGCCAAGAGGCACCTGCAGAGGTCGTTTTTGTTGTATGTGCTACATGTGACAACAAGAGGAAAAATACAAACAAAAATAATCTTCAGAGGAAATTACAAGGTCATCAAATAGATAACACTGAAAATTCAGAGACCTTAAGACAGCACCAGAAAGCTTCCTTCCTGTCGAATCAACAAATTTTCCTGAAATAAAAATCCTTTAGAATTTACAGGTATCTCAAGAGCACCCAAGAAAAAAAAAAAGATTCATCAACAAGGAACCCATTGCTGTTCAGCTAAACCGCACGCCTGGAACGGTTATTTTGAGAAGAAGAAGAGTTCCTTGGTGAGCATGGACACCACGCAGGGGATCTGCTTCTTCTCGTGGAAGCGGGCGTCATCGGACTGCGACTCAAAGTGCCTGGCCACCCTGTAGTTCACCCTGGTGAGGATCTTCAGGATGTCCAGGCTTTTCCCGTGCTCGTTCAGGGTGGAGCAGAGGGCCTGCACAAACCACGAGCCGCTTCCCGGGTTCCTCCACGAGTAATAGCCTTGGACAGGAGAGGAAGACGATCAAACCGGCTGACCACAGTCCCGCTCACCACTGAGAGTCGCTCTCAGGGTTTGGGGCCTTCACGCACGCTTTTTTCTGAGATTGTTTCCCTCTACTCTGCCTGCAAGTCTCTAATGAGCAAGCATCTTAGGTTTAGAAGACAGCGTGAAAAGGCCCAGCAAACGATTCGGTTGGTATGTGTCCGAGACATGCTGGGCAGGGAAGCCCCAGAAGGAAATGCTGGCGAGCCGCTCCGTATCTGGAACGCCTCACCAGCCTTTAGGGGGTGAGTGCTACTTTCTAATCCAAGGAGGGGGCCTCAGAGAATTTTGAGATGTGTTCCTGCTGATGAGGGAGAACTAGAGGCTGATTCCTGCTGAAGGCGGCTGGGAGTGAGAGGAGGCCAGGGGCGGAGCCAGGAGCGCCCGTTGCCCTGGGAGAGCAAGAGAGGATTCCTCCGCCTCCACGCCCCAATTTAAAAAGATACTAAACTAAAAGTAAAGTTGCGTTTGGTTTACGTGATGAGCTGTGCTTCTTCCTGCCAATCACTCACGCTGGTTTGATGAGAACTGGGTTATCATTACCATTTTACAGTAATCATTTATTGAGCAAGTATACAACAAATAGAAATAATCTATCTGTGTGATGTGACTGAGGTGCACTCAGAATTCTTTCCTGCAGTCCACAGGGCAACTACCAGCCCGCGCACTGAACTCTACAGCGTTAGCAGTAAGTCAGCACATTCTGTCTGTGGGGGACGTTGTCACCTAAGTTATCCCATTCAGTTCAGGGACCTGCTGAGGCAGGACGTGTACTGCCATCTCCACCGTATCACTGCCCCCAGGTCTGTCTCCTCTAACCCTGTTTCACATGGTCTTTGGGGTAACTGCCGCAGTAACACAAATCTCACCCTGTGATGCTCCCACCTCAAACAGTTTCCTTGCACCCCATATCACGGTAAAGTTCAGGCTGTTAGCACAGCATGCAGCGCCTATGACGATGGGGCCCCCTGTCTACCTGTCCAGGTTTGAACCTTGGCCATGCCCCGCACCCTGGGCAGTAACCCCCCTCAATCTCCCTGCTGTGTGAGGACATAGTGAGGAGGCAGCCGACTACAAGCCAGGAAGAGAGCCCTTGTCACAAACCAGACTGGCCAGTGCCTTGATCCTGAACCTCCCAGCCTCCAGAACTTCAAGTAAGAGATTTCCATTGTGTAAGCGCCAGTCTGTGCTGTTTCATCCCAGCGGCCTGGGTGCGGTGCCCACCCAGGAGTTTTACCGGTGACCCTTCCACACTCCTTCCAATCGGTCATGTTCCTTTTTCCTCTGTTTGATTTTCCAAGAGTTAGTCATAACGGCTTTTTTTTTTTTTTAAATTTAGGGAATAATCTCTCACCTGTCTCCTGAGGGCTGACCCTCCTTCCTTGACTCTCCCCAGGTCCTGCTCAGAGCACCCACCAGCCACCCACTGAGTCTGCTCACAGGCAGATGCTGCCATTACACCAGCTCCTTCCCAAGAGCAGGAAGGCCTAATTATTTTCTTCAACTTTAAAACGTGAAGGTATTGTGCTCGCAAAATCCAACCTGTCCATCCTGCCAGAGCTGGTTTCCCAAACACTGAGCGATTCACTATAACTGACACTTTCGTATCAAGCACTCCACAGACTACACCACAGCTGGGAGGATGCTGACTTAGTGATGGTTTTTACTCGAAACAAAGGAAAGCCTTTCCCTCAACTGACTCGGGCAAACAGAGAGCAGGTTATCTCGTTCCTGGCACTTCGTGGTGCTTGTTTATGCTGTAAAGGGATCCCGGTCTGAGCTCCCTGGCTTTATCACGTCCCAAAATCTCTGTGACCTTGAGCACATCACTTATGCTCACCCAAGTTCATTTTTCTCCACCTGTAAAACCAGGACCGCGACAACCACCTTCCTCACTACCTACACTGTTGGTACGAAAAACACTCTAAATTTAAAGCGCTATCGAAAAGTCTGCTCTTAGAAATATTTGTATTTTGGTACATAATAGATGATTTTCTTTTTTTAACTGTTGTCCTATTACAGTTGTCCCCATTTTTCTCCCGTTGCCCTTCTTCGCCCAGCCCACACCACACTCCCCCAGACCAGCCCCCCCCACTGATGTCCATGTCCACGGGTCATTCACACATGTTCTCTGACTAGTCCCTTCTCCTTCTTCCCACCATTGCCCCCCTCCTGCCTCTCCCCTGGCCACTGCCAGTCTGATTGTCTAGTTACCACCCCCCACTCCTGCGACGCTATGAATGCTCTGGCCACACCCCAGAGGCACCTACTAGTTACCTCGGAGTTCAGAGCTTGCTTCCAGACTCTCTAGACAGGTTTCCAACATTCAGTCCCCTTTTCTGAGTGACTGAATGTCTCTTTTCTCTGTCCCTTCTTGCTCTGGGATACCTGACATTATGTCTTCAGTGAGTTCAGATTTTAAAAAAGACACAATCGGCTTTTATTTTTGTGCACAAAAAGCCACAAGGTAAGAAAATAGTAGGGCTGACAACCTGCTTAGAATGAAAGGAACAAGAAAACTACCCTCCACAAAGCATAGGCATGTTTCAAAAAATGAGCTGTTATAATAGAAGCAGTCAGACTCGTCATCAGCCCATTATCGTACTTCTTTTCTATTGGAATCTATGTTGCTACGTGCATTAATAGGCTTTTTGTTTGAAATATGTTGTTTACATCAACATTTCATATTGACACAGAATTTGTTACCATAGAGACTGCTATGATTTTGTTATTCAATCTCTAAGTTTGTATTGAGAAAGAAAACCATTTAATGTACATAGATTAATATAATTCTGTGCAAATAAGATAAACTATGTTACTGTAATAAATAAATATAATAAAACTGGAAGTGTAAATACTTGTTAAAAAAAAAGAAATGTTTGCTCGTATAATTACCAGTGATAACAGTAGTAATGGGGGAGAGAATTCTGCTCTCTCAGAGAGCAAAGTGACAAGATCCCTGCAGTGAGCAGAACAATGGCCCCCGGGGTGTCCACACTCTCACCTGGGAACCTGTGCCTGTGTCACCTGACAGGGCGAAGAGGACTGGGCAGGTGTGATGAAGGTTAAGGGAACGAATGGGAGACTATCCTGAGCCATCCAAGTGGGCCCGATCTAATCACAGGAGTCGTTCAAGGAGGGCGAGACTTCCCAGCTGTGGTCAGAGTATAAGATGAGGAAGGAAGGAGGGTCAGAGGGGTGTGGGGTTGCTCACTCTGAAGCAGGAGGGCGGGGCCCTGGCTAAGGAACACGGGAGGTTCGCACACTCTGGGAAAATCACGGACATGGGTTTTACCCCCTACAGCCCCCGGAAGGGACACGATCTTGGCAACCCATTTTGGAATTCTGACCTTCAGAACCATAAGAGCATACTTTTGTGTGTGTTCAGCCACTGTGTTTCTGGTGCTTGGTCACTGCGGCAATGGCAAATTAATACGGCCCCAAGCCTACACGCTGACAGCAGAACGGCACGGCCCAGACAGTAGACAACGGACTTGGTACCTGGAACTGTGGAATAGGCGAAGAGAAAGTCGGCCTCGACTGGGATCTTGTATCGGGGACTGGCATCCGTGTCACTGATAGGCCCCGAGTCCGCCTGGATCCCGTCATCGAGCTCTGTCCCCCGGCAGGCCTAAACAGCAAAGCAGAGATCCATGGAGTTGAGGACAGAAACGTGTGCTGTCCACTGCTGCGCCCCAGTGCCTGGAACTGTGCTGGCCATGTCCTGGGGCCTCAAACATGGTCTGATGGGTGACTACAGGAATAGCGAGTGAGCAGAGGAAATAAAAGTATTGCAACACCTAAAGAAACCCCCATGAGTTGTGACCTGCAGCAGACACAGAAGCGAAGCATTTAGAGTAGGAAAACAAAACCCAAATTTGCACACCCCAATAGGAAAAGCACGCAGATCTGCAAAGACGATACGAGTCGCTCCGTAATCTTTGCCCATGTGCGGTGCAGCCGGCTTTGAAGAGGGATTACCTGGATGAAGAAGAGTTTGGGTTTCTCTAGGAGGGTTTTGCATCTATCCCCCCGAAAGTGGCCCGTCAAGTCCTTGATAGCGATCATGCCGTCTGTCCCATAAATCAAGTTTTCTTCTCCGTGGCTGAGTAAGATGCAGGCGAAGCAGGCGGAATTCCTGTGGTCCTCCTCAGAAGCTGCAAGCAAGCGATGTGAACGTGGAAAGTCAACACAAGCCCTGAGGGACCTCAGATGTAGGACCCGCTCCCAGCCTGGCGGCGCCCACTGACCAAGAGCTCTTCGGGGGAGGAGCACCTCTCCAGGGAGGAGGAGGACCAGTAGAGAGAAGTTACAGAGAGAATTCTAGAATTCTCACTCAGTCTGAAACCAGAACGGAGCTGCCTCCTGAGGAGGTGAGTCCCACCCATGGCAGGAGGGCGTGGTTCAGGCAGCTGCTGGGAGGCAGCATTTTGGGGTGCTGAAGGAGGTGACCCCACTGTTTTTTAGGTCTGTGACACAGGGGAAGTTCCTTTGCCACCCTGTGTCTTGGTTTCCCTGTCTGTAAAATGGGTATGATAATGCCTATTAAATGAGTTAATATTCATAAAGCAGGCCATGTAACAAGGATCTTGCAAGTATTTGTTAAAGTAAATAAAACACCATGCTAAGTGAAATAAGCCAGTCCCTAAAGGACAAAGACTTGATGATTCAACTTTACAGGTACCTAAGAGTCAAGTTCAGAGGCAGAAAGCACAATGGTGGTTGCAAGGGGCTGGGGGAGGAGGTGAAGTCATTCAGAAGTACGTGGGGATTATTCTTCTGTACCTACCAGGGAAAAGTTTAAGAGTAACTGTGTGGTAGGAAGAATGGTGTTGATTTGTTACTTCGCTAAAAACTAGTCTTTTGAAATTGAGACTGTTCTGTAGAGACAGGTCCTATTTCTTCTCTTGCTGTCATAGAAGCCGACTTCATTTTGGGGGGGAAAGATCTAAGTTTCCTGAAAGAGACCCACTACGCCAGAGAAAGGTATGGGTGGCCCAGAGGAAGGAAAGGCTTCCCAAGCTGAGTCCCTGTGTCCAGTAAAGCATCCTGCAGAAACAAGCTGGAGCCTTGCCCGTATGAGGAGCTGGAAGAACAAGGAGGGAGGCGGGGGAGGCACACACCTTTTTTCAGCAACTCCTGCATCTTGGCACAAGAGCAGTCGTTATAGACAAACACATCAAAGCCCAGGTTTCGGAAGCACTTGTAAAGGGCCTCGGCATCTCTGTCTGTTCCGTTCCGGACGCTCATACCTGTGGGAATCCAGCACCGGTCTGCGATGAGCAATCCCTGGCTGAGGACTGTGTGGCATCACCCTCAGGCACCAAGTGAAGCTAAGTGATACTCTTGGCTACAGTCAAGGCCAAACAGCTGCCCTCGATTCTTAGCTCATGCTCATGGTGGGACCTCAGACTAAATTCCCGATTTCTCTGCATCCCTTTCTCTTGGACATGCAAATACCATCTAGGAAGCAGCTGTCTGCCACAGCAGATGGGCACAGCATTTCCTTCTGAAGGTTGGCTACAAACCTTGTCCCACGGTGAAGAGACTGGATGGGAACAGGAAAGGTTAGCCCACGCCCAGAACACCTACCTGTTGATAAGTCGAAGTTCTTGTTGTTTATTATGATGCATTTGCCCACCTTCTCAAAATTCATGTTATACACACAGGAAAGCCCTCCATCCTGGGTGGTCCTGAGTGATCTCTTAGAGCCACTTTTCTTCTTCATACTGGAGGGACACAAAGCCAGTCAGGGGCTACAGAATAAGTCTGGACAGTAATGGCCTCTTGCTTTTACTACCAGCATGAAAGGGCCACCTAAGAAAATTGTAGTATCTGTGACAAAACACCTGGGCTAAACAGATGGCTCCATTTAATCATTGCCTTTAAAAGGAACATGCATCTTGCCCTGGCCAGTGTGGCTCAGTTGGTTGGAATGTTGTTCCATGGACCAAAAGGTCATGGGTTCGATTCCAGGTCAGGGCACAGGCCTAGGGTGCAGGTTCGGTTCCCAGTCTGGGTACATGGAAGAGGCAAGAGATCAATGTTTCTTTCTCACATCGATGTTTCTCTCCCTTCCTTCCCTCTAAAATCAAGAAGCACGTCCTTGGGTGAGGTTAAAATAAATAAATAAACGAAAGGAACATGCATCTTAATTTCATTAGATGCCAGAGAAATGCCCATTGAAATTACAGTGCGTTAGGACAACGGCCAAGTGTTGGCGACCACGTGCAGGGCCCGAATTGTCACACGTTGGTGACAGCCTCCTTTGGACATCCACTGTGATGACTGGCAGAATTCCATGAAAACTGAACTTAAACATAACCTCTGACTCCTGGGCATGTACCCCAAAGTGAGTAAACATGCCACCACAGCATAGCATGACCTTAGCATGTGGAATAGCAGCCCCAAACAGGAAATAACCCAAGTGTCCAGTTACAGTGGGATAAGTTTATGAATATTCATACAGGGCAACACGAGACAACAGTGAGAATGAACCGAAACCAAGACAACATGAAGCCCCACGAATGAACCTCACAAATACAATACTGAATGAATAGGACCCAGATGACTCCATTTTTTATAAAGTTCAGAAAACTAATACCCGGTTTTGGAAGCTGGGAGGCAACTTTACTGAGGGCAGGAGGGGCATGAGGACTTTCTCAGCTGCTGGCCATGTTTGGGTCTGGATGTGGGCGCCGGTTCCATGGCTGTGTCAGTGAATGCAGATTCACCAGTGTGTGCCTTTTCTATGCAGATGTTCTGATTCAATGAACACTTACATTATGGGGGGGGGGGAGGCACAACAATTTAAACCGATAGCTGGCCCCTTCCAATCTCCAAGCACCGATGACCAGTTTACCCATAGTCCAGCATGGCGCCTGGGACAGGGGCATCTCTGAGAGGACAGAGGGACAAAAATGTCAAATGTGAGTGGAGAGCAGTCATCCACTGGAGTGTTAAGTCCCATGAAAGATGAGATTTTCAAAAACCTTGTTCTGAAAAATTGCTGAATTCCTAACGCCTAGAATAATGCCTGGCACATAAGCTGCTCTACAAATATTTTTTATGAACTTCAGGTCAGTATCCCTTATGAATATCGATGCCAAAACTCCTTAACAAAATAGGAGCAAGTGAAATCCAGCAATCTGTAGATGGGATTATACACCAGGACCGAGGGTGACTGGTCCCGGGAATACAAGGTTGGGTTGACCTCTAACGATCGGTTAACGTAACCCATCACATTAGTAAAGGACAAGAACCACACGATCAACTCTATTGATACAGAAAAGCATTTGACAAAATCCAGTGCCCTGTTATAGATGAAAACGCTTAAGAAACTTAGGATGACGGTGGAACTAACTCAGCCTGAGAAGGGTGAGAAGGGCGTCTATGGAAAACCCACAGGGTCTCATTTAATGATGAAGAAATGAGTGCTTTCCCTGCTAAGGTCAGGAGCAATCACCCATGTCCACTCTTGCCACTTCTATTAAATACAAGAGGTTCTAGCCAGTGGAATTAGGTTTTAAAAGATGTTATGTGAATGAATCGAGTCTAATTCCCTCATTCTTCAGATATGAAAACTGAAGTCCACAGAGAAGCAAGGGGTTGTCCGAGGTCACTCAGCTCATGGTCAGCAGAGTGGGACTGTCCGACTTCCCTGTCAGCTTTCTAGAGCCCGGTGCCCTTGAAGATTTGTCGGAACGATCCGTCGGCCATTCTGCCCAAGCTCTTTTCAAAAGTCGAAAGAAGTGAAAGTGAAAACTAAGCTTATACCCGGCAGCTGTGGGTCCAAGGACATTTCACCCTGGGTAGTCACTGAATCTTATCTGTTGGGGTTTTTCAGAATCTCTGAAAGGACACGGCCTTCCCTTGCCCTCTTCCGCTTCGGTCCAGATTACATATCAGATCTCTGTGTTAAGACTTTAGATTCCTCCACCTTTGTAAGGCCAAATTTCTCCCATAGCACTTTATTTTGAAATGAGAAGTCTCCTGACTCTGTTCTCCTAATGCCTCCCTCCCTCGTTTGTTGTCTAGTTACAGATGATGCCAGGTTCTCTTCCCCTGAAGACTTTCTCCCAGAGGCAGCCTCCAGAGGGCACTGGACTTGGGGTCAGACAGAGGTCTGCATCCCTCCACCCCTGTGACATGGCTGGGGAGTCCCTGTCCTTCCCGCAGCATCAGCTTCCTCTCTTGCCATATGGAACCTTCTGTAACCATCCCCAATTAGGGTCTTCAGTGGGAGCAGGTAGTCCCGTGAAGCCTTCTCCCCTCCCAGGCCTCTAAAAACTCTCCAAGGGGTCAAGTATCAGCGCATAGAGTTTCCGCACTATTACAGGACATGTCATGTGAGAAGGGGTAGAGGTACTTCCTTATTGCTGCCCTGGCAATGATCCCTACCAAGAGTGGCCTTTGTGCTTGTTAAAATAGCTGGGCACAGCCTTTTACAGACACACTATCTTCGGGTGTTTGTTAGTTGACACCTGTGAGGTAGGTGAGGGGGGTGCAATCCCATCCATTGTGGAAGTCATAACAAGCAACAAGCTTGCGATGGGCTGGGATACTGCTCAGCTCTCACCTGCATCTTCCCATTGACCCGACAGGTCTGTGGGTCACTGAAGGCCACCCCAAGACCCTGGTGAGCGCAGCACTGGAGCTGGCAGGCTGGGGGGGTGCAGGTTGTGCACGAAAGCTCTTTCAGAGATAGAATTCTACTTTCATCTTCGACAATATGGAGTATTTTAAAACAAACTGTACCACAACATCCGAGTGATAAACAAGACGTGATTTTGTTTAAGCTGCCCATCCTCCGTGATGAGCAAAACAAAACCAGCGAGCACCTTTTATAAGAAAAACAGGCTTGACCCCGGCTGGTGTGGCTCAGTGGACTGAGTGCTGGCCTGCAAACAGAAAGGTCGCCGGTTCTATTCCCAGACAGGACACATGTCTGGGTTGTGGGCCAGATCCCCAGATGGAGGCATGTGAGAAACAACCAGTAGATGTATCTCTTGCACACTGATGTTTCTCTCCCTCTCTAAAAATAAACAGATAAAATATTTTTTTAAAAAGAAAAAGAAAAACAGGGTCGGATCTAAGTTACATGGGAAAGAAAGGAATTTGTTTCTATCAGAATAGAATTTGGAAAATTAACTGTTTTTTTTTTTTTAAAGGGACACAAAGAAGGAAGTAAAGAAACATACACTTTAAAGAAAATGCTTTCCAAAGTTAGGAAAAGTACCTTAAAACTGAACATGAAATGTGACTCTTCTCGGTAAACATCTCAAAAGGGAGGTGAGGAAAATTTCCCTCACCTATCCTGCCCCTAATCTGAACTCTTCTTTTTCTAAATGAACTTAGTATCTGCTTCCTCTTTCAGGGTTTCAGTCAGTCAATATTAATTTTTCTTTCTAACCCAGACAGCTTTTTTGTTAAACCAAGGTCTTCCCAGACCACGGATGTCTATTAGAGAGTGATCATCAATTCTCTCCCAGTGAATTCATCTTCCCAAGAGGCTCTGGCCTTGGGAAAACTCCATCTGTAGCTTCACACTGGGGAGCAGACCCCACGGATCAGCTTCAAGCATGTAACTGGAGGGACAAATAAGAGGAGGAACCGGTTATTAAGAAGGCACCAAGGAGAAAGCGCCAGGGAAAAAAAGTGCACCGAAGACCATTGCTACAGATGCATCCTGTGAGGTTCAAGGTTAGAGAGTCCGCTACCTAAATAAAAGTTGTAAGGCTCTGGGGCACCTTCTGGGGATTCTCTTTGTCACCCCTTTGGGCCTTCAAGACGCCCCTGACTGTGCTGTCCCTCCCATTTTTCTGATTCTTGCTGCAGAGGTATGAATTCACTGTGAAGGAAACTGATTTCTGAAAAGCAGCTAATTCAGGGAAGCCTCTGGTTACTGATTCTGCACCACGGGACAACTGTTTTGCTTAAGTATTTCTTTTATGTGTGACATCTAATACTATTTGGAAATGCTTCTGGTTTGACAGTTTTCTTCCTTTCTCTCCCTTGCTTCTCTGATTTCCAATGTTGAACCGTCATAGCATCCCACAATGAAAAGACCTGGCCGGCACACGTGTGTTTGTTCAGTTTATTCACACCCACGATGACCAGGGCAGTTTATTCACACCCACAGTGACCAGCAGGGCAATCTCTACTTCCTGTTCCAGCCATAAAAGTAGGGTCTTTGATCGAAACCACAGAGTACTGTGAAAAGAATGAGGAAGCTCTGTGTCCTGCTGTGGGATGACTTCCAATAAGTCCTGTCAAGCACAGAATTAAAAAAGGGGGGGGGGGCAGAACAATGAGGACAAGATGCTACCTTGGGGGGGGGGAATAAATATCTTTATGTTTGCTTGAATTTTCATAAAGAAACTCTTTAAGGATAATATAATGGATAAGTGTACGGATTCCAAGCCTGGGCTGTCTAGGTCTAAAAACCCTGCTCTACTACATAGTTTAGTGACTGAGGGCAACTTGCTTAACCAACCTCTCTGTGCTTCAGTTTCCTCATCTGTAAAAAGGACAGAAACGCAGCACCAGCTTCAGAGCTTGATAAACAAGTCAACATTCACAAAGTACTCAGAACAGTGTGCGGCATGTAGTAAGGAGTAAACAAATGTTCTTGTTATTGGCATTGTTACTATCGTACGTCATTACAAGGGGGCTCCTGTGTTATGGGAGCTGGGAGCAGGAAGGATAGCAGGAGAAAATGGGGAAAAGAATTTTGACTGTACGCCTGTTAGTATGTGTGAATACGTTCATTATTAATAGTTAAAAATCACTTGCTGCCAATGAATTTCAAGATCTGACCTGTTTTGAAGGTTGCTGGATTTTTATGCTAATTGTTGAAAGGGGTCCCTAGACACCCTATTTTTCTGTTTCCCAACGTGGCTTCACCCGCTCCCCCTAGCCTTTTAAACTTACTCTTCTACGTGTCCATACTAACAACAATAATATGTACCAACTTTTGATCACTTACAACTTTATATCTATACCTCATGTAATCTTTACAATCTCTGAAGCATTAACCCTGTTTCATGGAAAAATATCAAACTAGCTTGTCCAAGATCACAAAGCTAGACAGGGGTAGAGGCCAGGTTTGTTCTGAGGCCTAACATCAAGTACCTAGTCTCAGAGTCTCAGGCCTCGCCCTTGACCTAGAGAAGCAACATCTCGGGCCAGGCCTGGGTGTTTTCCTGGAGATGCTTACAGCCTCTGAAGGTTGAGGGTCTTGGCACTCGCCTGTCTGCCTGCTGCACGAATCCTCTTGGCTCTGGCCTTTCCTTGCTGTCTCCACTCTTATTTCAAGCCCCCCAGCTACTCCCAGAGCCCCTGGCAGCAGACGGCCTGCCCGCCACTCCCAGGCAGGGTGGAGAGCACCAGCTCACCCTACTCTACCAAATCTGCTCTCCACGTGGGTGCAGACTTTGGGGCCCTTGGCTCCTGGCCAGAAACGTGCCTTGGGAGGCACATGCTGTGGAAGGTGCCCATGGGCGGCAGCAAGGTGTGTTTAGGGACCTGTGTGAGATTTACGACTTTCCATGAAACCCGCAAGGTGTCCTGGGGTAACAGTCAAGCTGAACATTAAACCGAAATAACCAACACATCCAAAATGCTTCCAGGAAAAGCCAGGTTGCCTGCAACGGCATCTTCATTTCCGCTTGTTTGCACGAAGCTGGTGAGCACCTGGCACAGCCTGGCTGGAGCTGTACCTCACGGTCAGCGCAGTCCGCAGTCCGGGGAGGAAAGCTGTGCGACCCCCACGCTAGCTTCTCACAAACAGTTACCCTCTGTTTGGAAATCAAGTGCCAGAGCCAAGCAGGTCAGCAGATAAACAACTGCTATTGGCCAGAAGCAAGGGCCTCAGGGGTCAAGAGAGACTGTGCTAATTAATCAGCCAACAGCAGAAAGGTAACAGCGGTCCAAAAGCCGCTGGGGGACAGTTTCTCGAAGGGACGAAGGGACGGGGCCCAGCAGGGAAGGAGGAGGGTCATGAGAAGCTTTCAAAGATCCAGATTAGAAACTTCTTCAGTTGCCAACCCTTGAACCCCCCCACCACGCAGAGATGAAATTTTTTTTCTACAAGTGGCTGTTCTCGTAGTTCCACTTCTACACTGGGTCTTTCGGCAGCAAAGGCTGGAATGTGGGCGAACACAGACCCCAAGAGGCGGGCACGCTGAGTTTCCTTTGGGTTTGGATACACGGAAACCAGTGGTACGAATGGTGGGGGAGCCACTTCAGGTGCCCCCGGGTCACTTCATCAAGTGCTGGCGAAGTGCTTTATGCCTCACAAAGGGTGTTAGTGGTCATCGCCCCACTTATTCCCACAAGTCCCCACGAGAGACATAAAAAACAACAAATAAAGCACGCCAGGCTCTCTTAAAGCCAGATTCTATCTCTTCCCATTCTACCTCCTCCCTCCCCCCCCTTCCCTTTATCTTGACCTTTTTTTACATTGTGAAGACCTTGGCCAGGATGATTAATTTAAGGAGAAAAACAGGGTTCTTGTTTTGGAACCCGTTGTTAAGTGAAGCGCTGATGATAAACCGGACCAGTGAATTAAAAGTTTAAATCCTCTTAAAGGCTCATGTGCTCCGCAATTGGCTACAGATTTTAAAAAGTAAATCTGGCCAGGAAGTCACTGTGTTTACGGCCAGATAAGCAAGGTGGCAACAACCGTGAGTGCCAGATGCAAGGACTGAGCACATGCATTTGAAGTGTGCACGGATGGGCGGTGAATTTAGAGGCAGGCTGCTTCACCCCAATGCTTCCTAATCAGCCTTACTGCCTCTTGGTGATGTCTGTCCTCACCAACACGGGCAAAGACCACTATCTTCCCTTCCCAGAGGCGCTCAGACAGGCTCGGCAATCCGCTAGGGACACAGATCAGGCTGGCTTTGGTGATCAGGAAGGACCTGGATTAACCTAACTGCTTAGGTCGGCAGCCATTTTTCAGAGCCTCAAATGTCGCAGTGTGAGGCCGACTCAGTCATTTCAACAGAGTCAAGAGGCAAAACATGACAACCTAAGCTCAGATGGTTATTTATGTTTTAAAAAAATCTCCTGGAAGAGTCTACAGCAACCCCTAACCAGAAAACAGTGGGTAAAAACAGTCGGTTTCCTTTACAAACAAGTGGACAGTGAGCTATCTCAGAAAGTGCATGATGAACATTTGTAATCCATTCTGGGTGCAAGTGTAATTTTCCCCGTCACCGGAGTGGGTAAGGACAGGTTTCATTCTCTCCCAGGTCCCCCAGCCTGCCCGAGATGTGAATTACGCCTTTCTCTATTCGGAGGGGACTCACCAGACATGGCAGGCAAGCCCGCTGCTGGTGTATCTTCTCCGCGACCAGAATTCCTGGGAGCTCTGTCTGTGTGCAGACATTACTCAGCTCAAAAGTACACCCCCCAGGTACACGTTTCCCCAGGGCCCGTTCATTCGAAACTGGGGCTCTGGTTTTCGTAGCTGCTTTGTCTAAGTATTTCTGGGATGATTCATTCATGGTTTCAACATCTCAACAGAGGGCACCCTCAACAGCCCTGACACACTGAGGCACACGGAGCAAGACCGAGAGGAAGAGAGAGGCAAGGTCACATACCTCGTGGCTCCATCCGAAAGCGCCCCCCTTGGCAGCAGAATGAGGCTCCCCCCGGCAATGACAGGCACTGCGTTCCCCTCTTCTCTGTAATAATAAAAACTCAGCATGCTTGAAGCTCGGCAGGAGACAGAAGCTGGCACAGCCCTCCAGGCCCGGAAAGCCGGTGACTGAATCAGCAGTGAGCTGCCTGCTGGAGCTTTCCACAGGACCGTTCACACTGGGGCTGAAAAAAATCGCACTGGCTTCCCTGTTCTCTGCTGACCTGCAGAAATGCCCAGGCTCCACACAGCAGCGTCCTCCCCACCCAGCAACAGTGCCCCAGGGAACAAAGAGACTTGCTCCTTTGCAAGAGGTCCAAAGGACAAAAAGACCCACATGGCCACCGAGAAGCAGCCAGTGGCACCATCTCTTGGAGCAAAAAGCTGGAAACAATTGAGGGATGGCTAGGCCAGAAGCTGAGAATTAGAATAAAATCACACACAGCTATTGAAAGTGCTGAGCGTGCAGGGGCAGGCAGCCCACCAAAGGGCCACCACATCTACAAAAGCTGGTGCAAAACAAACCCAAACCAAAAAAACAAAACACAACTCATGCAGGAATAATGCAAAGTGTGTGAAATGATAAAGAAGAAAATGAACAAAAACAGGAAGTGAGTTTGTGGTGAACCAAACAAACAATTTAGACTCATTAGGTTCTTTCTTTCCCTCTAAAAGTACTGGAGGTACTAACACAAATAACAAAAGACTCAAGAGGCACACCAGGTGTCTCACTTTTCAAATAAACGTCGTTCAATGGTCTTGAATAAAGTCAATGACCCAGAAGTTACTGCAGTTTCCCTCCTCACCACCCCCCAAAAGTGAAGGGGACAATGTGACCACATAAAAACCTGACACTTAGTGAGCCCGACGGCTCAGCAAAGCTTTTCCCGATTTCCTGGTTCAGGCTCACAGGCAGCGAAAGGTGTGAAGCTGACAAGTGGAAGTCCACCGCTTGCTACTCTGGGCAAACCTCCTGATCATTTCCACCGCAGGCCTGCGATCCAGAGAGAAAAGTGGCTCCCTATTCTTCTCTCTGGAACTCGGTTTGCACAAATACCCTGGGGAGCGGAGTCCGTTTAAAACAGGCCAGGGGGAGAAAGACCTCTCTCTGAACGCACTCCTCCACGTTTCCCTCCTTCCCCCTGAGAAAAGGGGCAGAGAGACCTCTGACAGGGGACTTAAACAAACATCATTGGCGGGGAATCAAGGACCAAAATCTCGCTCAAGAGCCTAAAACGAGTGGAAGATGCGGTGAGAGCCACGTGGCGGCTGCTGGCCCCCAAATCCAAAACAGTTGCCACTTCAGTCCTCACTCTTTACGCAGCGACCTCACCCATCTCTGTCACGCTCCTCTGACCACACGCACGTGACCACACGCACACGGGCCCACACAGACCGCCTGCCGGGCGCACAGCCTTCCGCCACCGCAGCACGCACCTGGCTGGAACCTGCGGGGCCATCATGCACACTTTTTATTTGTGACCACGTGTTCCCTGGAGAAGCAACAGCTCTTTATTTTCACAGCACTTTTCCATTCATAGAGTTAATTTTATACTGTTTTACAATTTCTATTACTATGAAAACCTGGTTTTCTTCCCTTCCTCGCTGTTGTTTTTTAACCTCAGAGCTTAAAAGAGCTGTCCATATACGGCCAGGCAGTTTCTCCACCCTGTGACTGTTTCAGAGGTGCGGCTCGCTGCCCCTGACACGTGTGTGCACTTGGCCGCCTTTATTCAGGAAGTCCATGGCTAGCCCTGTGGGAACTGCTGTCCATAAACCCTCCCTCAGTTTCAGTGCAGAATTAAATTTGCTGACCCACGTGGGGAGAAGAAAAAACTGCTCTGTGGTGGATTAAAGTGGCTGAACAGTTTGATGGCTCTGCAGCCGTGGGTGGGACTTGATGTAAGTGGGCGGGGGTGGGGGGTGGGGCACTGGACTCCAACCTAGGCCTGGGTCTCGTCCTGGTTCTGCGGGGTGACTATAGGTAGAGCACTTCACCTCTCCAGAATCAACGTTCCTTGATCATTACAGAAGAAAATTGGGTAAATTACCCTTTGTGGAGTCTTCCAGTTTGAATATTATGATGCTGTGATTTCTTCACCAGGTTAAGTCAGCAAGCTGACAGTTACTTCGATTTGCACTACAATCCAGTGGGTGGGTGTTCACATCCTCACACAGGTGAGGAAACTGAGGCTCAGAAAGGTTCAAGGACTTGATATAATCCCTCAACTGATAAGAGGCAGGGCGGGTATCTGAAACCAGGATGTCTGCCTCCAATGTCACTTAAGTGGTATCGTCCCTGCTTCAAATATAGCCCTAAATCTTTATTACTCTTTATATACAGATCTGGGAGGCAGGCGCCCAGTATGGTGGCGGCTGGATTTGACGGCTGCCTTTACTAAAAGGGAACCACCCTCTCTGGCTACGTTTTAACCGTTTCTTTCCTCGTAGGCGCAGACCCAGCCTCTTTCAATCAACAGTTGGGACCAAATGGCTTTCACTTAACTTGGAATATTTTTTTGGCACTAGTTAAGGTCTGCTTTCTCTGTTGTTCTTCCCTCTGGTTCCAAAGTGCTGCTGCTTCTAAAACAGTTTTCTTCCTTCTCCAAATGAAAAGGCAGGCCACCTGCGTCTCTCTTATAATTACACAAATAACACATTTTTTTTTTACAGGGGCCTGTTTACAATATAACACTCACTCGGCGAGAAACCCAAGTCGCCATCCTAAGAAAGAAGAATCACAACAAGTGGCAGTTACTAAACACACTCCAGGTGGACCAAGGGTGGAGCACAAGGCCTCCCGAAATGCCGGGAGTGTAGCAAATTCTGAAAACGGGCCTTTTTGACCCATGCCGTCTTCATTCAGGAACCGGAAGCTAAACTAAGCCCTGCGCAGGGACACACAGGCCCCACCCAGGCCTACAGGAAATTTGAAAGTGTGTTTGTTACTTTTCTTCTTTTTGATTTCCTTTGGCCCGGACTTGAGCACAACTCAGCCAGGAATCTGACTTCTCAGCTGACGTGCTCCTGAGTGAGGCCATGTTCCTGGGATGTGGGCCACACAACCAGGCTGGGTTTGAACCTCCAGGGGGTCCCCATCGTGGCCCCAGGGCCACATGCAGCCCCTCAGGACCTGGGCTGCATGTTCCCGGAACCCCAGCGGACAGGCTCTTTAGTCCCCAGAGGACCCCCTGCCTCGTCTCTGACGACTGGCCCCCAACTCGGCCCACAGTGCTCTCTGCTCTTTCCTCGCCCGACTCCCACCTGGCCCCTACAACCCGGCAAGTAATTTTCTTTTGTTACTATTTTCTGTAGCCGTGCCTAGACACTCAGGAATAACCGGGGTCTGTATCCGGGGCAGGGACCATCATTAACTGGGGGGGCAGGTAACCTGTGCTCTCGGTGCTGTTGCCGGTTGCCCTTCTGTCTGAGGATTCTGTCCCCAGCTGGCACTACCAGGCTTTGCCCCATAAACCAGGGCTCATAACCAGTGTTGCTTGTGAACGTCATGCATTTCTTCTAAGTCATTTTTTAAAATCCAACACTTCACTAATTTGAAATTAATACCTTGGATTTTTTTGTGATTTTATGATGTTTTCCAAATGTTCTTCAATAATCATAAAGTTAGAAACTATCAGGGAGTTGCCTTTGGGCCTGTGTATTAAATACACAAACACTAATGAAAACTGATGAGCAAAAAAAGGTTTTAAGTAAATTTACGATTTTCTTTTGGCCCGTGTGTTGGACACACCTGAAACTTTAAATGAAAGTATAGTCTGTGTTTATTCAAAGCCCAATGCTATGGAAATAAAAACGATGCTGTGGTGCCATCTAGTGGCCCTGAGACAAAAAGACAAGATGGGACTGAGGGCTTGGAACTGCCCACCCAGGGCAAGTGCTGCTCCCCACCACCCACCAAGTTTTTGGGGAGAAAAGGAGGCTTCTTTCCCTTTCCCAGGATCCTTGAGGTCTCCGCCCTCAATCAGAGACAGGTGGGGGGGTGTTACTCCCCTCTCCACTGCCTTACCAGGTAGTAATTCTGAGACCTTGGAGACAGGAGTGTGGGATGGGATGGTGGGGAGAAGGTGCCTGCCATCCGCTGCGGGGAGCACCCAGAGCAGCCCATTAACGCTCCCAAAACCTGCACCCACACATCTGACAGCAGACAGGGTGACAGGAGGGGCAGCCGAACCTTCCAGATTGGCAGGAAGTAGCATACCTCTGATGCTGTATTCAGATCGCCCCAATGAGTTAAATTTTAGCGGGACAAACAATCCCAGTTAGAATCCGTAAGGGACGGAGGTTCCAGCACAGGTGACACCGGGGCAGGCGTTACTGTTCTGACACAACGACAGTCTCATCTGTTACCTACGTGGTCTCTGACAGCACCCACGTTTCCCAGGAAGTCTCACTCAGGAAAGCGGTTCAGGGGAGTGATGAAAGGTGGCAAATGCTGGTGCCATTCTGACCTTGTGACAGGAGAATAGAAAGGTCCTCACCCCTTTTCCTAGCAGGAGGACTCAGTGGCTACTGGATGACTTCCGCCAACCCCAGGGTCCAGGTGCCACTCTCCTCATTGTCTCTCCTTCAGCTTCCACCCCCAGGCACCTCTGGAGTCTGGCTGCCCCCATCCACCTGCCCAGGCCGCTCCCATCTGCAGCCCCCATTCTCACCTGCAGACCCGAGACAGCCCCTAACTGGCCTTGCCTCCCACAGGCCCCCCTTCAATGCATTCTGCACAGTGCAGCTCCCTGGATGTTCCCCTGTGTGTAATGGACCACGTCACTGAAACGCCTTAGTGACTTCCCCGTCCTTAGGATTGATTCCGAATCCTTCATGTGACCTGCGGACAAGCCCTTCTAACTGTGGCCCCTGGGCGTTTCCCCCATCTCCTCTCTGCCATTCCTCCACATCCCACATCCCTGCCGGCTAGAAGGACCCTGGATCGAACTTGCCCCCTCCCCTCCACAACCTCCCCCTTCCCATCAAGTCTCAGCACACACGTTACATCTCCAGGGGGCCTCTCTGACCACCAAGACCAGGCTGGGTGCTCTTTAATTTTACTTCTCCAGGGCCCAACTCTGCCCCGTCCTAGGGCCACCATGCCACGACTACCTACTCCTGCCTTCTCTACAAGACCACGAGTGTCTGAGGCAGGGGGGCCTGTTGACCTTGTTCACGGCTGCAGCCCCAGAGCCTATCACAGAACCTGGCACATAAAGGTGGCAGTAGAGCTTGGTGACTGAGGGCAGCTGGGCATGCAGGTTCAAATCCTGGCTACGCCACTAACCAACTACTTGGTGTAAGGGACTTACCCTCACTCTGTCTCTCCTTAAATATTTAACAAAT